CAAAATTGGAAGGAAAACAAGTTTTATTTCAATACTTATAATAGTTTAATAAAAATATTTTTAGTCCTCTCAAAGAACAAATAACAAATAATTAAGATCACATGAAATTATACAAAACAAGTAACAAAAGAAAAAAAAAACAACAAATAACAAAATTCAAAGCTAATTAAACTGACAAGATAAGACAAACGACTATGCAAAAATATAAACGACTTCCATAACTAAATCTTCTTATATTACATCATAGTGTATTTGGGGGAGAAAAGAAAAACGATGGAAAGATCATATTTGTGCCCTTAAAAATAGATAATGTATCCAAATTAAACATCCGAGATTAATATTTATATACGTACGACATAACAAAAACAACCATGGAATGGAAATCTAAAGACTAATTACTAATTATTAGAAAGTAGAAACGGAGGAATAAACGTGAAAAGGAATAAAATGCATGGACGTATATCTTTTGTAAAGAATATAATAGTGCATAATATATACAATATACATCTTTTTAATTATAGAGTAACACATATATTATATATATATATATATATTATATTATATAACCAGTTAAAACTATTGAGTTACAATTGTGAGGGTCGTGGCTGCATGTATAGAGTATTCCATCCCAACTACAAAAACGATAAAATAAACTAAAATCGTTAAGGTCGTGTAGTAAAAAGACAAGGAAAAAGTCATGAATTGGGACAAAAGATAAAACACATGCAGCTGCTTCCAGTTGTCACTGCCATATTGGCACCGTTTCTTATGGTAATGCAAATTACTGAGGCTGTTATTCACCAATTAGACTAAGTTTTTTAAGTTTGTGTGTAATGAGGGAACTAGGTCAAGTAGTTACAGTTTACTTGTCGGATTTATGAGGTTGGCCGAGATTGGTCTCTCTCTTTGACTAAATTTAAGTATTCTATTGGGGATATGTGTCATCATATGATCAAGTTGTCGGATTGATTAATATACAAATATGAAACTACTCTAATTAGGTCATAGAGTCTATATGGTTATGACTGTAACATTCCTTTATGTTTACTAATAATACTAGCTATTTGAGAACTTATATATCATGAATTTGTCAAAAGTCTTAAGACATGTTATATAGTCTACTTGTCCAACTGTGGAGGTCAATTTTTAACGGTAAAATTTGTATTAGGTGTTAATTATCAATTCGCAGAGTGGTAAATGTTCAATTCAATTTGTATTAGGTGTTATTATCAATTCGCAGAGTGGTAAATGTTCAATTCGTTTGTCTAGAATGATCTAGCGCATGAGCGATAAAGTAAAGTGTGGAAAACAAAGAGAAGACACCGAAATTTATAGTGATTCCCCTGATAACTCATGATACGTCGACTGTATAGTGTTTGTTGTTTGTACTATGTATATAGAGAATAGTACAAAGAAGCTTGATAAAGCTTGAGAGAAACAATAATGGAGGAAAGAGAGAGAGAGAGGGCAGCTGCCCAGGGCGAGTTTGTGTCTCTTGGAACGCTCTGGACATTGAGGGAAGTCCTCTCTTTATAGTTGCAAACTCTTGTTTCCCAATTAAGACTAGTTTCCCTTTTTTGAATAGAGTTGACTTTGCCGATTGTGTCTAATCTTGTTTCCTCATTCACTTCGTGTCGTATGAGATTTGGACCACCTTTGGTGCGATTTGGTAGCTTTCTAAAATCCCAAAACAAAAGGTTCCTCAGAAGATTCTCAGAATATTCATCGGAGCAGTCGACTCTTTAATTCTGTCGAGCAGTCGCAGTTGACTCCCGATGTTGTTGTCGATTTAGGCCGATCTTTAATTGGGTAATCTTCTAAATGTCTTTGGTTGCTGAATCCTTCTGAGAGGTCTTCTTAGGTGATGGTTTTTAAGTCTAGTCGACTCGAGTTGACATGTGTATGGTTGAGATTGAGTGACGAAATCTGACCCCAACATCAACTTCCTCGAAGTTCTTGTAAATTTATGCAATCCAAATAACGATTCTAATGTTTGATCCAGGAATGTGTGTTAAACTTAGATCGCGTCAATTTCACTGATTCGAATTTTCAATTTCAGTTTTATTACAATTAAAAGCTCTCATAAAAAGTCGCATATTAATTTATTTTGTTTTTGTTTTTGTTTTTTCTTTTATCTTTTGTTTAACTTACATTTCGTGCTCTTTCAGCTTTCCCTTGTTTAAAAGTACCTTAAGTAAATTATGGATTCTTCAAATGGCATACTCCTTTTCACTCTCCACAATTCACGCTTCACTCAGGTACGCCATTAACTCGTTGAATCCGCCGCCACCTCTTGATGAAGATCCACTTCCACTCCCAGATTCTTCTTGACCTTGACTCGTCGTCGTCGTCTTCTTCTTCTTCTTCTTAGACAACCCGAAAACATTCAAGAATGAATGCGGATTGTCGTCTCGTTGTTGCGGTTGTTCAACACGAGGTGTGTTTCTAAACCTACTTTCGTAAGAGATATATAGAGAATATATTTTTTCCTTTATAATAGGAAACTGGTCAGTAGTGTCTATAGCTAAATTCACCTAAGTTATCTAATCCACTTTCTAAACCTTCTAATTTTAATCTATGGTCAAAAATAACACCGAAACCATACAACATGGGTAATTTATACCAATATTTTTTAAATTTCTTTTCCATAGAGGCGATAGGAACTCCTAAAACCTCATGTGTCTTAAATTCACTAAATAAAATAGACATTCTTAAAAGTTCTCCTAATGCTAATGGTGAAGTTGGGTAATAAGTTCCACTAAGCTTTAAGGTAACTTCATGAAATCTACCTAAAAAGTTATACAAAAGTTCGGCAATTTACCAATCAGTTTCATCTATAAATCCTGTTCCTAATTTTGCACTAACATAATTTGTTATAGCATCTTTATAGGGGATGCATTGTTCAAGCATTATGTAAGTGGAGTTCCATCTTATGGGCATATCTAAGGCTAATGCTCTAGACTTTTGATTACATGCTTGTAGAAATCTAAACCAATCTTGTATTCTTTGATTACTACCTTGAATCCAAGAAATGTTATCTCTAATTCTTTTAATATGACCTGACATTGATTTTAAACCGGACTTTACTATTAAATTAATTATATGACATGCACAACGTAGGTGGAAAATATCATTATTACTAAATAAACTTAAATCATTTTCAAAAAGTTCTATTGCTTTAGTATTCACAGTTGCATTATCTAATGTTATGGCCATTATTCTATCTCTTAAACTATATTCATCAATAACAGATAAAATTGTGTTATATATTAAATTGGCAGTATGTGATCTTATAACACATTTGAAACCTAAGACACTCTTATCCAAATTAAAACCTTTATAATAATGTCCGGTTACAACTAAATAATCCTTGTTGGCAACAGCGGACCAAATATCCGCTGTTAACACAACGCAACCGCTAGTAGAGTGTAGAAGGTTGATTAATGCTTCCTTTTCTTGTTTATATAATTTTAATGCATCTTTTCTAAGAGTAGTTCTAGAAAAAAATTGTGCATTAGGATTATGTATAATTTTAATATAACGTTGCCAATTTCTTTGTTCAGTAAAACTTAGTGGTTGATCTAATGTGGCTATTAATCGTGCCATTTCCATACGATCAACTTGCGGATCGTATTTCCACGTGCTTAGACCGCCGGTTTGGCGGTCAAACGATAATTGTGTTTGGCGGAGTTGATCTCCGCCTCCTTGCTTTTGAAGACACTTTTCAGAGTGCCTTCTTAAGTGTGTAGTGCCGTGAATAGTGTTACCTTGTAATTTCTCACCACAATATTTACATTGAGCTACGTATTTAATGTTACCGTTATTGTCGACGTCCTCGAATGTGTTGAAGTGCTCCCAAACTGCTGAGGTGTGCTTGCATTTCTTCTTAGAACTTGCAACACTTGCATTAGCACTACCGCTTGCCTCTCCTCCACGGCCACTTTTGCCACCATCATTGCATCCCCGACCTCTAGTACGTCCACCAGGGGTCGGATTCGCAGTTTGATCAGCAACTCTTTCCATAGTTTGCGATTCCTGCGATTGAAAAACATTAGGAAATTGCCCTTCTTCGATGTTGAATTGGGCATCAACGGGAATATCACCACCATAACCAGAAGAAGCCATTATGAAAAATAAAAGAGATTGAGAGCGCTTTGAGAGAGCTTAAGAGAGATCGAGATTCGAGAGAGATTTAAGCGAGATTAAGAGAGATTTGAGAGAGATTAAGAGAAATTGAGAGAGAATGAGAGTTTTGGGGTGAGGAAAATGGTTGGGGGGAGGGGGGGTATTTATAGGAAAATTTTTGGGTTGAAAAAAATTTTTTTTCCCCAAAAAATTCGAGTCCAACGGCTACAAAATTTTCGGGCAGTTCGGGCAACGGTACAAAATCCGACCGTTGGGTTCAAAAATTCGGACGAAATTCGGGTTCGGGCAGAAGACCGTTTTTTTTCAAAATTCGGGCATTTTTCGGGCTAACGGTAAAAAAAAATCGAGCATTTTTCGGGTACGGGGCAAAATTCGGGCAACGGTCACCAAAATTCGGGCAACGGTCACAAAAAATTCAGGCAATTCGGGCACAAATTCGGGCAGATTCGGGTATTGCCGGAAAAATAAAAAAAAATCCGGCAAACGGTGGGGGACGGCTTCTCCACGGCGGCGGGCTGTCGGGAAGCTTACTCTTTCGGGCTACCCGAGCCCGTGCCCGAAGAAAAGCATTTTCAGGCGACGAGATGGGCCTGTCCGCCGTGCCCGAAAATTTTTGAACATCGGGCAAGCCCGCCGCCCGAAAGTTCAGCACTATTCATGATTGAATCCATTACAAGTTAAAACCATTTAAACCATAAATCTATCCAAGTGTATGACCTTTTCAGTAAATTACCATAAAAACAAAAAATAAACAATAAAAGAATTAAAAAAAGTGCCACCAGCGAAATCCAAAACCCAAATTCCCGCCAAACCTCTAAAAAACCACACACAGATCCAATCCAAATTCACATTTTCCAGTTGAAGAAAGATAGAAAGAAATATTTAGACCAAAACGTGAAAGTAGTGAATTGCAAATCCACAGAGAAGCGAAGCCATGAAGGTCCGATCGGTGAAGCTTCGAGAAGCCCACAAGGCGGCGGCGGCGGCGAGCGGCGACGGGCGGCCTTCGTTCTCCTCGGTGGTGTGGGACCAGCTGGCCCACCACATAGTCACGGCCTCCGCCTCTGACCCCATCATCTCCATTCACGACCCTCTCCTTCCCTCCGCCCCTCCCAAGCTCCTCCACCATCACCTCGACGGCGTCACCGCCCTTGCCCTCAGCCCCAACTCCACCTGCCTCGCTTCCGGCTCCGTCGACCACTCCGTCAAGCTCTACAAGTTTCCTGGTGATGTGATTCTTTTTTTTCTGTTCTTTTCATTGAGTTGTTTATTTTGTTTCTCTTGCGATTTCGAACCAGGATTTGTTGAAATTACCGTCCTTGATTGAGATTTTGGTCGATTCTCTCTTTAGGGTTAGGTTTTGTTGAAATTTAGTTTTCCCCCAAATCTGTTTCATGCTCTACAAGTTTCCTGGTGATTTTTCCCTTATGTTATTATCCTTGATCTATATGATTGAGCTTACAATTTTTTATTTCCTTAGTCATTATGGGGTTTTGGGCTTGGATTGCTGAAAATGCGGGTTTGATAGAGAAATTATTCTCTCTCTCTCTCTCTCTCTCTCTCTCTCTCTCGTTGGTATTTATCTATGGGATTGGCTTAGAATTCTCTAACTTTTAGAATTATATTTTGTTTTCATGTTTATGTTTAAAATTTCTTAAATTTTCGCTTCTATTTCAAGCCCCATAAGTTTCCTGGTGACGTTTTTCCTTCTTTTTTTCTTTTCTTGGTGATGTTTGGTTCAGCTTGCAATTTTTCGTTTTTTATTATATATGATATTGAGCTTGGATTGTTGAATTTTGCTGTCTTTAGTCGAGATATTAGCATCCATTTCTTTTTAGAGTTAAGTTTTGTTCAATGGACTTGCCAATCATTTGGCTTTGAATTCTCTGCCTTGTAAAATTGCTTTTAAGTTGGTTTGTTTAATATTTGGTTTGATTTTGTTTTCCCTCCTAATTCAAGCCCCAGCTCCACCAGTTTCTCGTTTTTTTTTTTTTTTCTTCTCTTCTTCTGCTTGAAAGTTTTGATTTTTAAAATTACCGAGTTTTGATTCGTGGGTTCTAGCTTTTGATTGTACTTTAGATTGAGCTCTGTCTCTTTTATCTCTTTGGGTTAGCTTTTATTTATTGGACTTTGTAAGATTGATGTACTCGTTTAACTTGGATTAGTCAAAATTTTAGTTTGTTTAATTTCTAACAATTCAGCTCTTAACAGGCGGGGAATTTGAGACTAACATAACCAGATTCACACTGCCAATTCGAGTCCTTGCCTTTAATAAATCAGGGACGATGTTGGCAGCTGCTGGTGACGATGAAGGGATTAAGCTTATCAATACAGTTGATGGTTCAATTGCTAGAGTTCTTAAAGGACATAAAGGACCTATAACTGGCCTGGGTTTTGACCCCAACGGTGAGTACTTAGCTTCTATTGATTCAACGGGGACTCTCATATATTGGGAACTCACTTCTGGAAGTACACTACATACCCTTAAAGGCGTAGCCCCTGACCTCGGTTTAGACCCGTCTGTTATGAATGTACTTAGCTGGAGTCCTGATGGGGAGACCCTAGCCGTCCCAGGGTTGAGAAATGATGTGGTCATGTATGACAGGGACACGGCTGAAAAGCTGTTTTCATTAAGAGGCGATCATACGCAACCTATTTGCTTCTTGTCTTGGTCGCCTAATGGAAAATACATGGCTACAGCTGGTTTAGACAAGCAGGTTTTGATATGGGATGTTGATAAAAAGCAGGATATTGATAGGCAGCAATTTGATGAGAGAATTTGTTGCTTAGCATGGAAGCCAGTAGGCAATGCACTTGCTGTTATTGATGTTACGGGGAAGTATGGCATATGGGATTCAGTTGTTCCGTCATCCATGAAATCTCCGACTGAAGATATCCCAAATTTAAACTCGAAGAATGGGCTTCTCTTCTTTGAGGAAGAGGATCTGCAGGAGCCTAGTTTCTTTGGTAGTTTAAGCGACCTTGGTGAAGACAGCCTTGGGGAGTCTGAACCACCTTGCAGGAAGAGACTAAGAAAGCAGTCTGCGTTTGAGAATGATTTGGACGAGGATGTTGGTGATGAGTTAAGCTTGCCTCCTAAAGTTGAATCTCGTAAAAAACCCTACCATACACACAGAGCAAGCAAAGAAGATGGGAATGAGGGACAAAGAGGCAGAGTAACATCTATGAGGCTGAAAATGCAAGAGGCCTTTCAGCCAGGTGCCACTCCCATGCAGCCTGGAAAAAGGCGTTTTTTGTGCTACAACATGCTAGGAAGTATAACAACAATGGAGCATGATGGATACTCCCATATAGAGGTAATCTACACATTTTTCTTTCCAATACTCTACATAACTATAATTTTTCCTCCCTCTCTACAAGAACATTTTAAGTTAGCATCTTTATATAGCCATGATGACCTATATGTCATACTAACAGTTTTGTGTATCTTGGGTGCAGATAGACTTTCATGATACTAGCAGACATCCACGATTTCCGTCAATGAATGATCATTTTGGTTTTACAATGGCTTCGTTAAATGAGAAAGGAAGTGTATTTGCAAATTCTTGCAAGGGTGAGAAGAACATGAGTACTCTAATGTATCGTCCATTTAGTAGCTGGGCAAATAATAGCGAGGTTAGAGCTTTTACCTTTTAAAGTATTTCCTGTTAATGCTTTCCCTTTATGTGGAAATCTAAATTACACTTGCACGTAGCTATCACCTCCTTGTTCTGATTTTCTGTTTATGATAAATGTTGGCCTTTTCATATATACCGACTTTTTAATGTATAATGCAACCCAGTGGTCTATGCGATTTGAGGGGGAAGAAGTGAAGGTTGTGGCGCTTGGGACATCTTGGGTGGCTGCAATAACAAGTCTCAATTTCCTTCGCATCTTCAGCGAAGGTGGTTTGCAGGTGATTTCATGCAGTTTTTACTTGATCGAGCCATGTCTTATTCAGCTAATATTTAGATAGATAAGATTTTGTTTTGCAATGCTGAAACTAAATCTATATAGTTCAAATAAAACAAAACAAAGAAGGAAAAGAATGATTGCTTCCACAAGGTGGTTTTATTGTATGGAAGTAACACGGCCCTGCTAGTTCATACAGCTGAATATGAGAGAGCAACAAAAATGTCTCCTTCCACCTTCAGCTGTAACTGATGAATCATTTTATTATATTATTCATTTATTTTGAAGTCTGTCTCGCATATTTTATTTTCTAAAAGTTGAAATATGACTGCAGAAACATGTCCTCTCCCTGGATGGACCAGTGGTGACTGCATCAGGATTCAAGGATGAACTAGTCGTTGTCACTCATGCCACTGACTGTCTTCCATCGAATGATCAGGTCTTTGTATTGAACACATTATAGTCCTGTTTAGTCCAAGGGCAAGGGGCAGTCACTCTTACCTTATCATGACTTGAGAAATTTACATTTAAAGTCGGAAACTCGATGTTTTCAATAGAAGAATTGTACTGGCATTAAAAGGAGTATTTCTGTAAAAACTTATGCTATGTGTGCTGAATTAGAATTATTTATTCTAAACCCTCGCAGATGCTTGAGTTTAGAGTGTTTAACATATCTAATAGGACTCAGCCCCTTAGAGGACGTTTGCCACTAACTCCTAGTTCTCATTTAACGTGGTTTGGGTTTAGCGAGGAAGGACAATTGAGCTCCTATGACTCCAAGGTACTCTCGCTACACTTCTCATAATTGTGAATGATCTTGCCATTTCTGTTTAACATTAGAACTAGCCGTGGCCAAAATTTGTAGGGTGTGCTGAGAGTTTTTATGAGCCAGTTTGGAGGCATTTGGCTCCCACTCTTCAGGTTCGTGATCTTTTTGACAATATACTAATTGTTTCATAATTGAAAAGGGTCAAGACTCTTAAGCTAATTCTTGATTTATGATTGATTTGTGATGCAGTGCCAGTAAAGAAAATAAGTCTGAAAACTATTGGGTGGTTGGGCTGAATGCAAGCAAATTGTTGTGTGTACTTTGCAAGAATTCTGACTTATTCCCGCAGGTATATATAGTAGTCACCTTCTTCCTTTTCTTTTACTTCAGCCACCGTATCTTGACATTCTCCTTTTTTTTTTTTCTTTTTTTTTTCCAGGTTATGCCCAAACCAGTTCTCACTCTGCTAAATCTTTCATTCCCTCTTGCTTCCTCTGATCTGGGAGCAGAGGCCCTTGAAAATGAGTTTATGTTGAATAGCATGCATCTCTCACAGGTTTGCATCTCGTTACAGATCATATTCGACCTACAAGCCTTGCCTGCTAGTACTGTCATTTGATTGAAAAAAAAAGAGACTAAATGCGAGTTTTATATTCTAGATAATTGTTTTATTTATATACTCTGGTTTGGAAGCCGACAAGATGTTTCTGGTAATGACTTTCTTCATGTGTATAACTTTAAGATACAAAAACAAATAGATGATTTTTCCGGTGCCGGTTTGAACACCGCTTCACTTGATGATGAAGCATTCAATGTTGAGGCAGCGCAAGATAAATGCATCCTGAGGCTTATCGCATCTTGCTGCAATGGTTAGACCCTATGTAATCTTGATCCTGTACAAAATGAAAGATGTCTTTAAGTTTCATTTCTTGCTCTTGATGATTGTTTCAGGTGATAAGCTTGAGAGAGCTACAGAGCTTGTTAAGCTTTTGTCACTAGAGAAGTCTGTGAGGGGTGCAATTAAGCTTGTTACAGTTCTGAAGCATCCTAATTTGGCAGAACGATTCAGCAGCATATTGGAGGTTAGTAACCCATATATCCTAATAAGTGTAGTTAGTGTAGAAATAACTAAGTTCATTTTCGCTCTTTCTTATTTTTGTACGCCTTGTTGTAACAGGAGAGACTGCTCGCCGAAAGTAAAGAGACCTCACGAACCTTGCTTCCTAGCTCAAATCGCAATGTGTCCGTTAAGGATGATATTGCAGTTACTAGGACTCCATTTTCTACTGAAAAAAGTAGCACTTTAGGAACTGATAATGTGTTATCATCCTCAAGATTGTCTGCTCCACTTTTCACAAAGAAAGCGAAATCACAAGGAGCTAAAGTTGAAATGGAGAAAAACAAACTAAGCCAAACTACAACAGATGATACCGGAAAGGCAAAGAAGGTAGAACAGGTTACAAATCCTGCAAAGGTGGCAGAATTGCATCAGGAACAGCCTAGCCGACCGTTAAATCTTTTTGCAAAATCATTAACCAATCAAGAGAAGAAGGCAGGAGATGCAGATCAGGTACAATCAAGTCGCCCGTCTAATCCATTCTTGAAGTCGTCTGTCAAGTGATTCCTCTTAATGAGAAGCTGAGAATAAAAACCGAATTGAGGTTGTAAAGATAGGATGGGATTCTGTCATTTGGGGCAGCATCCAACTAAATTTGTCAGACCAGCAATTTTCATCTCGTGTAGAGTTTGGCGCTGCCCACAAAGAGGCATTATGAAACATAGCTCTTGTAATTATCTGTTGACACAAACATCAAAGCTTCTTCTTCTTCCAAGGCATTTACTCATCATTTGTTGTTGTTGTTGTTTTTTTTTTTTTTTCACTGACATATGATTGGCAATTAGTCTGATATGGTCGTCCCGACAAATTTGCGAGCATTTCCTATTTAATCTAATGTGTCACACCCATTAATGAAAATGTCCACGACATCGTTGACATTTTCACGATATTATTTATATTTTGAAGTCTTGATATAAATATAGGAGGAAAACATATTCTTCTTAACATGTCTATAAAATATCCGTAATATTTAAAAATGTTTGTAAAATCTATGAATATTCGTAAATATCCAAGATATTTTTAAAAATGTACATAAAACGTTCAAAGCTCTTGAAAAATTTTTTTTAATAAAAAATTAAATTTGTAGCGCATTTTTTTTTCAATAAAGTGTGACAAAATGGTTTAAATAAAAAGTAAATATTAAGACTTAATTAATTTTTAAATTTTTTTTTTACTTTTTAAATAAACTATTTATAAAAAAGATGTGGTGTGACTCAATTGAATCAAATTGATGAGGATTTTACAACCTTGAGTTTTGATTCCATGAGCTTAGGAATAGAGAAAATTCATATGGCTATCCATACAACTTTCACATGGGATCTACTTCAGAAGTACAAAACCAAGATGGTTTGTATGATATATTAGTGTATCCTCCACCACAAGATCAGTGTTGAAGTGTAATTTCACATCCTTGAAGACTATTCATCAAGTTCGATTGTAACAACTTGAAGAATTAAATAGGTTTAATTATGTTAATTGTGATTTATTAGTGTGCTTAATTTAAGTTTCTTAATTAATTATGTCCATTAAGCATTTTCTTACCTTTCAGTTTTAAATATTTCTAAGAGATTTTAATTATTTTCAGTATTTATAACTCCACCCCAGAAGTTTGTGGGAATACATCCTTCCATCATTTTCTTTTAACTATCTTTTAATATTATCTTTTTCTTTTCTTCGTATTTTCTTTTCTTTCTTTCATTCTCTCATTTTCTTTCTTTTCTTTCGTCACTCTCTCTCCCTCTCTTTCTCAGACCGCTGTCTCTTTCTCAGCTCTCTCGATCTCTCCCCTACTTTCTCTCTCACCGTCCCTCTCCTTCTCTCTCTTTTCCTCTCAAAGTTTCACTCTCTCAAAAGGAAGCTTTTGAACCGGATCTGAACCAAAAAGTAGATTTAAGAAGTTTTCAACATCAAAGTAAAGATCGAGGTAAACTCTTTGAAAACTGACTCTTAAATCTCAAATTTTCTTTAGTAAAGACTTGATTTTTGGTTTAGTTGGTGAGGTTTTGGTTTAAACTTGATTTTTATAGATTTTGGTTAAAACCATGATAGAAATAGGGGGTTTTTTATTCTTTGAACCTTATTTGATGATTGGAACCTGGTTATGTTGATTTTCCATGAAAATAACTCAAAATCGGACCCGAAATGCAGGATATGGCCTCGCTTTTCTCGGATCGGCCATTTTTCTTGCCTAGCCTGCTTCCCACCAGTCGACCGGTCATCACTCTACCGGCCGACTGGTGGAGTTACACTCCTTTGTCACCGGTCGACCGATGCACACTAAATCTGACCCAAAACAGTTCAAAAACCTGTTTTTGACCCCAAAACCCAATGTAGAACCAACTTAACTTCATTTGAGAACTCAAAGTGAGTAGATTAGCTGTTGGTTTCTGAATCAAATTTGGATGCAGAAGCGTGGGGATAGCGGATCAAGTATAACAAAAATTTTCATAAAATCTTTGAGATACTTTATAGATCATATTAATTTATGCACAAATAAATTAATCACATTAATCTATTTATTAAGAACTCAATTAGGAATAATACCTAGAGGCCGATTATGATGATAACTTGAGTTCTTTGACCTCTCCTTGCTCTAAAGCTTTGTGTTTAGAAAACCAATGTCTTCCACGTCAATTCCTAGAATCTCCGAAGACGTGTGTGTGGGCACACCTGAGACAAAACTGGTTAGAATAAACACTCAAATTTCCATAAACACCAACGCATGCATGATGTGGAATTTTTAGAGAAAAATTTTTCCTTCTCACTCTACTAGAGAATTTCGGCCACAATATAAAATATAGGTAAAAAATTGTGTCTCACAATTTTCTATCATTCTCTTATTTATAGAGTAGAAGTCAAAGTTCTAGAAGGAATCCAATCCATATCTACAAGATAAAGCTTGTTAATTATCTCCTATTTGAATTTGGAACAAAATCGGCTCTTCCTTATCCTTAATGTGGCCGGCCATGCATGGGGATTCTCATCCCTGTGTGGCGCCAATTACAGATAGGGAAGCAAGAGAAAATCATCTTTTTATCCTGCAATCCAATTTTGACTCAAATACAAATTCCAATTTAAGTCAAACTTAAATTAATTTGAATTCTAAATTAAACAACTTATCAAATAAGTTTAAATAGATAAATCTAGATGTGTTCAAATTTAAATTTAAATAATCATATTATTTAAATAATAATTAATTATTTTTAAGTGTTTAATTTTAGAATTCCGTAATTTTAAAATTCTCATTTTGCCCTTTGTATCTAGTAGAATTACTAGGACGACGCAGGGACTAATGGACCTATAATCCCGAGCTCCAATAAAATTAATAATTAATTAAACACTTTAATTAATTAATTAATTCTATTAATTATAATAGTCACTCCACTATAAACTTGGAATTGCACTCTCGAAATTATAGACATAAATTACTTTTAAACTGTGAAGTGTCCATTTGATATGGTCACTGCATATAGATCAATCCTCCATAAATAATTCATAATTAGAGCTAGGTAAAATCCGTTAACCACTCTAATTATATCTTCATCCTTAAGTACCATTGATTCTCTAATGGGTAGTGATTCATAAAACACATTCATGAACCATAGCGCTCTTACTAATCCAAGTACCGAATCAACACTCAAGAGAATTATTTATCTCCTTCTTTCTCAAGAAGGAATGGATTCCATCTCGTATAATTACATTCCCGGCTACCTATTTCATCATGTCTCTGAAATACAAGGAATAGGATTCAAGATCTCAAAATCCGTACCGTGTAAATCGAAAGACACAAATCCATAAATAGGAGTTTGTTAAGAACTCAGGATTAAGATCATTCTATATATGACCATCGGTAGACTCAATTAAAATTTCTATACTTAACAGAAATTATTAGAAATTCATATTGTGTATGTGTTCCTGTTCCACATAATCTCATTATGCGAAATACACTCATTCAATATCTCGCCATATTAATAGTGCGGATAACACCGTTCCATTCTAAATGGAAATGACATGTATTAATAATGTTTTAATTAAAAATTCTGAACTTTAATTAAATTCATTATGTACATCTCTTTTTGATTATTATCCTTAAACATTATCATCTCGCATACAACACTTATATACAATGTTTAAGGTCACATAAATAATCACAGAATTTTCATTTGATATTCATAAAATATTCATAAATATATGCACATAAAATAAGGAATAAACTCTTTTATTAAATAAATAATAAATATCCTATCACATCTCATGCTTCTAAATGGGGTAAGTATATAATAGTAGTAAAATTACTAAAAACACTTAATCTGAATGCTCTAAAAATAAAGAGGATCAGAAAAGCCAAGCCGAAAACCCCAAATGAAGAAAACCAAAAGGGGAAGAAAAATCGTCAAAAATAAAGTAAATAACATTTAACCCATAAAAGATACACAAAAATCGAAACCAAAAACGTAAATGAGACCACCAAAAGAGTAACAAAAGAAAATCATAGAGGCCATAAAGTACAAATCGGAACCACGAAAGAGAGCAAAAAGAAACAGACATAAAGCCCCCCAATTCCACGCCCAAACTGCACAAAAGGGACAAAGAGATTGAAGCCGCAAAGGAGCAAATGCAGGATCCAGACCAGAACAAAGCGAGGGAGAAGAATAAGATTAGAAGAAAAACAGGGAAGAAGAAGGAAAAAATCAAGAGCGGCAGAAGGCAAAGAAACTGAAGAGGAAGCCACAAAACCAAGAAAGGGAGCAAATGAAGGGGGCGGAGGAGATGAGAGAATCGAGGGGGAAAAGAAAATAAGAGTTACAGGGGCTAGAAAATTACCCAAAAGTAAAACCCAAGAAGCCACCGAAGGAGAAAGAGTGGGGGCAAAACGGGAAAATAAACCCATCAAAGATGTGCTAAAAGACCAAAACGCCATTGCACCAGAAGAAGAGGAGAACAGTAAATGAAGGGAAAAAGTGTCATTTCACTGTAGAAGAAACATTAAAATGGGTATGCGTGAATAGTACCGAGCTCTCATTTAGTATATTTATAATGTCCTCTCAAGGCCCCACTTTGAAGTCACCTTTACCTTTTTTCTTCCCTTTTAAAAGACTACTTTGAAGTCACTTAAGTTGGATTATTTTACCCAAAACAATTAGATTATTGATTTATTATTAGATTTGCTTATTAATTGTTTTTTTATGAAAGATTATTAATTGTTATCATTTAAGTTTTATGCACAGGCTACTCTAAAATTTTGATAAACCGTAACATTTACTCAAGCTGCGCTCTTATTGTCACACAATGAATTTTTAAGACGCGTTTACCAAACCGTAAAGGAATGTAATGAGAAAGATAATGGGAAAGGTTAGGAATGACGCATTTGCTCAAGTCACGTGTTTACTTGACTATTAGATGGCGTAATAAAAAACAATACCATTTCCTTTCTTATGTTTACTAAAATTAGAAAGTATTCATTTCCTTTGATAAGAAATCGAAGCTAGGGGGTGTAAGAATTGGTATTCTCTTTCCTTCTTTCCTATTTTGTATGGGACTCACTATATTTCTATACTAATTTTGTAAGTAAACACATTATTAAATGGACAAGAGAATCACTCCTTACTTATCCTTAATGCGAAGTAACATTGCCCTTAATTTAGACCGACCTTACTTTTGTTTATAATGATTAGTTTCAACACTACTCGTCACTCAGAAGAAACAAAAATCCTGTTAGATTATGTTTTCAAAATAATTTATTTAAGAGATCGCTATCATTTTCATACCTCAAAAGACGTGTAAATTTTTTTTTAAAATCAAATAACAAACGCATCTAAAAAACCTCTCTTAGACAAAATTTCATTTAACTTCTTAGAACAAAAAGGGCTTGTTCATTTGTATTTTTTGAGTTAGGGTGACTTGAGTTTAGATCGTGCTTTGAGTTAAGGTGTATTTGAGTATGGTTTAAGTTGGAACTCTAATTTGAATTTGTGTTTGGATGTGCACATTTTGAGTTATGGTTTGAGATGATAATCTTTTTGAGTTTGTGTTCGGATGGGTCAAAACTTGAATTTGTATTTAGATAGTATTTTAATAAAAACTCAATGGTGATGAAAAATTTTAATAGAGTATATAAGTGAGGTTTTATTCGTTTATTTATTGTGAACGCATAGAAAAAAAATAATCTCAATTAGAATTAAAACGAAAAAGTTATATAAATTATTAACAATCCCTAACTTTTTAACTGTAAGATCTATATCAAAATCTGTTCATTTTTGCAATTCTTTCACTCTAATGTAAGAGTACCAAAAATTTCCCTATTTTCTTTTTCTTTTGAAAGGATATTTTCTTAGATTTCCATTTCCCATCTCTCTACATTCCACAACGTGGAAGGTGCAAAGTGGCATGTCCCTCTTCCCTTATTAAGCTTTTGCTACGAAACCTCCTTAACTTTATACTCTCGCTTTCCAACAACCACAAAAAAAAAAACAAGGGCGTTTTCGTCGTTTCAACCTGCCATCCCCTTATTACAAACCCGAATTCGCAATCTCCAAGCAAAATCAACAAATGGCGGAAGTAACCTTCCTTTGCCTCCACGACCTCGAAGACGACCCTCACCAAACCCTTGCCCTCGACCACTCCGTTCCCTACTGGTCCCACTCCGACTTCGACCTCTACGCCTCCGATCTGGAGTTCCCGCCGTCGGATCTCAATCTCCACTCGCAGATCTCCGCCGTCCACGGCGACGCCGACGATGACGACGTTGATGGTCTCTTCTCCCACCACGAGTCCTCAGACGCTCACGCCCGGTCCCTTGGCTCGCCCGCGGCCACCGACATCGTGGAGGACCGCGAGAACCAGGTGAATTTCGTCATGGATCTGTTCCAGCAGCGCGTCGAGCAGTCCCAGGTCATGGGAGGTCGGAGTGATTTGGTCTCGGAGGCGCTCGGGGACTCGAGTTTCGGCGTGATCGAGGGGAATTGCGATGGCGTCGACCTCGATTTAGGGTTCGGGTTGGATTTTGGGATCGAGAGGCATTGCGTGGATGTAGATGGGGAAGATGATTTCTTCATCGCGAGGAGGGTTTGCGGTTCCGAATCCGGCGAAGCTTCGACCTTGACGAATTGTATTAGGCTTGTAGGGTTTGGTTCCGATTCCGATGAGGAAGATAATGGGATTATTGGTATTGATTTGAATTCTGAGGATGTTTATGGTTTGGACAATTCAAACGAGCACGACAACGATAATGATGATGATATAAGCATTCCTCTTTGCTGGGATTCGCTTCAATTGGAGGATCATAGAGAGACAATTGAGGATTTTGGGTGGGAAGAAGTGGACGGTCGTATTGAGGAGAGAGAGATTCTGAGCACGTTGTCGTCCATGGAAGCCGAAAACGAGGGTTCTGTTTCTGTCTCTGTCTCTCGTTTGTTTTCCCGTGAAGAGGAGGATGAAGAAGTTAGTGTTGACAGAGAAGGAGGTTTCGGGAATTTGGACTGGGAAGTTCTGTTGAACAATAATAATTTGGATGCAAACCCGGAAGCTGAGCCTTATCTTGGTGAGCATGATTACATTTACCCCGCGGAGTATGACATGTTGTTTGGGCAGTTTACGGAGAATGAGGTCGACTTGATGGGCCGCCCTCCGGCGTCAAAAACCGTCGTCGAGAATCTACCTTCGGTGGTTTTGACCCAGGAGGATGTGGAGAACAACAATGCACTTTGTGCTGTTTGTAAAGATGAGATGGGTGTTGGAGAGAAAGCAAAGCAGCTTCCTTGTTCGCATCGTTATCATGGGGACTGCATCATGCCGTGGCTGGGGATTCGGAATACTTGCCCCGTTTGCCGTCATGAGTTGCCCACTGATGATGCTGATTACGAGCGTAGGAGAACACACAGGGCCGTCCGTGGCCGCTGATTCGGTAATTTGTTGATCCTGTTCTTGTTGTTTTGAAAATTTTGCTAAGCATATTAGGTTGTCAAAAATGTAGCTCTACTGTTTTTGGGAAAGCTCAGGTTCTTGTTGCTCTTATGTCTTTTTGGTGAGAGATTGAGGATTTTTGGTTTAAATTATACCTTTTATGATCTCTACATTGATGAATTTGGACGTTGATACTATATTTTTGGCTAAGTACATGTTGTTGTTGATACAATATATATGTATAATGATTTTGTGTAGCAGGTATTGTTACATTTCCCCTTTGTATTGGGTGTTCTGTTCTCATCCATTGATGTTAGTCTGTTCCACTAACTGTTCATATTGAGAGCATTTTACTTTAAAAGAGATGATGAGAGTAATTTGAAACTATTTTAGGAGCTATAGAGAATCATGATAGTCCATGGAGTTGCTGGCCTATTTGGTTTATAGGTTTGATCCGCAATTCAGTTTTCGTTTTCTTTTTTGTAAGGCAGAACATTAGAGCAAAAAGGTTTGAATTGTGTCGTTTTCTTTTTCTTTTTTGTAAGGGAGAACATTAGAGCAAAAAGGTTTGAATTGTGTTCAAACCCGCAAAACAAACAGGAACTAATTTCAACGTTACCAGTACTCAGTGGAAAAGTCATTCTAAAGCAAGCTCTCTGCTTTGGAATGTTTCTTTGGTTTTGTGTGGTTTTCTTTTGCTGTTGGGATATTTCTAATTGGATTTTTGTTACCTGACATTAGTCATCAAAAGTTTGTCTTTTGATAAATAATAATCAAAGTTATATTCTGTATAATGTTGATGTCTTTTAACTTATCTACTGAAGCTATGTTACCAAAACAAACTTATTTTTTATCCAAAAAAAATAAAAAAATAAAAACAAAGAGAGAGAAATCCTTTCTGTAATGAAAATTTTGATATCCAATGAAAATAATTTGAAATGATTTAGGAGCTAGAGTGAATCATGCTAGTCCATGTATTGCTGTTCAAAGTTAATTGACACGGACAATCGAAGTTATATTGTATGATGTTAGCTTTGAACTTTTCAACTAAAGCTATGTTAGCAAAAACGAAATCTTATTTGCAAAGAAAATGTTGTGTGTCTTTGTTTTGCTAAACATCAACAAAAATAAATACCATGAATTAAAACAGCCGTTAAAGGCATTTGAAGAGTAGTATTTCGTTGTCTAGTTTGATTCAGTGGGTTTGATTGATGAATTAAACAGTCAGCGTGTACAGCGTGTACCATGAATTGAAAACAGCCGTTAAAGGCATTTGATTACAGTAGTATTTCATTGTCTAGTTTCATTCAGTGGGTTTGATTGATGAATTAAACAGTCAACTTGTTGACATGAAAGTGATATGTGTGGTGTGTGTGTGAAAGGGACTCGGATTTCCTGTCAAAACAGAAAAATGCTTAGGTACCCTTTCGGTGTTAAGTATCATCATTAATAGAAGATAGACCCCACCTGTGCAGGACCCACCTTCCATTAGCACCACTGGTGCCCTAGAACATTGCTTCTCACAGAATGTTGTCTAACTCCCTGTCTACCAAATAAAACTAGCCACATCATTTTATGAGCATTGCACGATTTAATGGAGAAGTATAAGGTAACATTTGTCTCCCAAATTGAATATTGTGTACAATAAAACAAAGTGAGTATGAACGTCGTACCCATTTTTGACAGTGTGTGTGTGTGTGTGTTTTTTTTTTTTTTCCTTCAAAAGGACAGTATTTTTATGATGTAATTAATGTCTCAAAAAAAAAAAGATGAAGTAATATTATCTTTAAAAATGGACGACATAAATTGACGAAAGAAAGCGAGAACTCAGATATTTTATTGTTATTAACAAGGCTCGAAGTTACGCCGGCATTGCTAATGGTTCGATGAGATGGTCCCGTTCCTAATGGAGATAGCGTTGTTATGTTGTGAAGTTCAATAATCGCCTTGACCACTTTCGCAGAGATAATACGCAGGCCGGCCTTTACGATGGTAAGGTTTTCAGGGGGCATGGATGTAGGGGCAGAGCCCTCAAACCAAAATTTAATTAAGGGTACTTTTAGGGATTCCACTCTTGTAATTTTAGCTGCCCTAATTTTTATTACATAAAGGGGCCAATTTCAGGGTTAATTTGAGAGGTTAGAAAAATACCGAGAGTTGGAGGTGTGTGATTTTCTTTTGTAAGCTCTTTTTTTTTTTTTTTTTTTCATAGTGAGTTATTGTAACGGCTGAAAGTGAACGCAACTCTTTTATTGAGGATGAACCATTATGAATTAACATGTTCTTGTTTGTTTGATTTTCCTCTGCGATGTTATTGGCATCAATAATATAGAACTAGAGTGTTTAATATACAACTAGAACCATTATGAATTAGGATTGCACTTGCCTATTTCGTATAAACAACCAGAAGGAATTAAAAACGATGATTGGAATCTTTTTGATAGACAAATATTGAGAGTGATCCGGTCGACACTGAAGAAAAACATGGGTCACAACATGGTGAAGGAGAAAACCGCACCAGGGATGATGAAGGTATTCGAAAACAATAAAGAATATCTCACGAATAAGCCGTTTAATTTGAAGATGGCAGAATATACACCGGTGGCATTGCATCTTAATGAGTTTAGCACGATGGTTAATCAACTGTCATCTGTTAAAATTGATTTCGGTGATGAGCTTTGTACCCTATTTCTTTTGGTATTTTTTTCCGAACAATTGGGAGCCTATGAGAGCTTTGGTCAGCAATTCTATAGACAACAAGAAGCTTATTTTTTAATGAAGTCCGAGACACTCTTCTTGCTGAAGAAGTGCGTCGGAAGGACTTTGAAGAAGTGTCTGACATTGAAGTCTGCGGGTAAAAAACACAACCAAACATTAAACAAACAAGATAAAAATATAAACCATATGAGTAAAAACTACCGTTATTACAAATGAAAGAGAGAAAATATCCACAAGCAAAAACATGAAAATATCAAGGAGAGAGAGGTGTCTCTCAGAACCAATGAAGGAAAAAAAACAAAAAAAGAAAGCAACAAAGGCAAGCGGTACATGGTGGTAGCAAAGGGCACATGCCCCGCTAGAGGACTCTGTCTCTTACAGACCAAAACCTACAAAAGGAAGGCTCAGACAAAAACCAATGAACCAAAAAATGATCATCACTACCTCGGGTTCGATTCAGCAACCCTTCTCCTCTGCTGGTGGCACAAATACCATCTTGAACTAAACGTCTAATTGCAAGCTTAAGAATAAAAATTTGGAGTCTAGAGGCCCAGTGATGTGTTGAACCTCTAGCCAGAAGTGCTGTTCTGTTTCTCTCACTCATTATCTGTTCTCTAGGGCAGGTTCCTCACATGCTCTGATGGATTGGATATACCTAATGTTTTGAACAATTATGATTAATCAAATTACATAAAAATTAACAATGTTAACGAGATGAGTGTTGACATGCAATGATAAAATATATGGATCAAAGATGTGCACTATAATATCACCACAGAAAAGTATCAATATCCTTTTTTTTTTCTCTCTTTGAAAAATAAGAATATATTCCAAATGAAAAGAATACAAACACCAATATTGACTTATACAATATCAAAATGTAAAAAAAAAAAAAATCACGATCTTAATAAATAACCGGTTTCACCGGTAAACTAGAATGAAATGTTAATGAGAAGAAATTAGACATCATAATAGGTACATCAATGATCGAAGACACTTGATTAATGGTGTGTAAACCCCATGTGCCACCATTATCGCCGTCGGAAGACATCACTGCCACGACAATCAGGGTTCTAAAACAGTACAAATCAAAACCCTGAAAGATCCTGGTGACCAAATATAGACGCGTCGAGAATGATGCTCCAATCAACAGCCTCCACTGTCCATCCCACCTTCGATCAGCCCCAAAGGAAGCTCCTCGTTGTACACCGCCCCCACCACTAGAAACCCATATCAATATGAGTATGTGGACTAAATTTCAAGTTCGGGAGGCCGGCGACCCTCCAGCCCTAGTTAATATTCTCACTTTAGACTTCTCAATATCTATTTCTTGTTTCTCTCCAAAGTGTGCTCTCTCATTTTCATTTTGAAGATAAAGAAGTAGATAACATTTTTACAGGAAATAATTGAAGTAGATAGCAATAACAAATTTATTAGGTAAATTATTTATTTAGTAAATAGATTATTACTTAATAAATTTTTTTATTCACTCCAAATATTTTTAAAATCTATTATTTACTCATTTGGTTTCATAAAAATGCTATCTACTGGCTACTTCAATTCATTAGAGGTGATTCGATCCATTTACTTAACAACAAATTGCTGGATTCTACACGCATAATCAGTTGTTTTATTTGTCTTACATAATTATTACTTGCATATCCTACATATAGCGAAGTTTCTTGATTTGGCATATTATACTTGCTTTTTGAGGGCTACTTTTATTATCGTAGGATGTTGTTTTCTTTTTCTTTTTTGTTTTCTTTTTCCTCCCCCCTTTTCAAAACTCTAATGAAGAAAAACGAAAACGCCCGATATTATGCATGCATCTATATAGGACCGACCATAGTCATTTGGGTCACTCTCAATGCCATGTTTAGCAAATACATTTCTACAAAAGTAAGAAATTTGCTTCTTGAGCAACAAGTTCTTGACATGAAAATTTCCAAAAATAAAAGCGTTTAATTTAAAATAAAAAACCAAAGAAAAAGGCTTTGGGACACTTTTTTTTTTTTTTTTTTTTTCCTTCTGTCTTTCCCACTGATATATGTTGTATATGTAGGATAGGTATCCTTCTACGGTTGATGAGGCCAATGTACTCTAATGGGTTTTACTTATGAACCGATTTTGAAGAGATATCATTTTTCTTTTCTTTTTTTTTTTTTTTTAGGGAAAATTTTCAAGGGACTCAACTTACAGGAGTTTCAAATAGAAAACAATTAAGCCAAACCCCAAAACAAATAAAAGCCAAATTAGACCCCTGTTTTGTACAACTTGTAATTATAGATATTGTCAAAAGTCGATACCAGATTAGGCAATACTTAAAGCTTAACATATTAAATTAGGCTTTCTTTGATCTATTCACATTGTTTGTTTTACTTTAATTAAAGGAATTTATTAAAGGTATTAAACTTAGCAATTTATTAACTCATCACTTATGGATGAAAGTTTTCAACTACTCTAATCAAGATGGCTAAGACATTCCTGCAAGCAAACTTTAGTGCTTAGAAATTCAAAGGTTTTTAATTAACCTCGCAAGGGCTATAGTTCAGTTTGTTCGTAGTAATTTCATATGATCACTAACACAAGCCTTAATCAAGAATCCTCCGCTGAAATCTGAAATTAATATGTACCTACCTTGGCTGAATTAATTAATTACTAATATTACCCAGCAAATCAAACATTCATATGTACTCATAAAGTATCTATATTAACTTTAGAAATGGCCCTGGTTGAACATGTTTCTCGAATTTTTGAAAGGACTCATTACACCTCTACATAATATAAAATTGTTCAAAACATTAGTACTTGAACTAATGTAATTTATGTTGAGAATAGTATCCTAGAAGCATAAGATGTAATAGGATATTTATTATTTAATTAATAAAAGAGTTTATTCATCATTTTATGTGCATATATTTATGAATATTTTATGAATATCAAATAAAAATTCCGTGATTATTTATGTAACCTTAAACATTGTATATAAGTATTATATACGAGAGGATAAGGTTTAAGGATAATAATCAATAACGTTGTTCATAATGAATTTAATTAAAGTTCAGAATCTTTAATTAAAATATTATTAATACATGTCATTCCCATTTAGAATGGAACGGTGCTATCCGCATTGTTAATATGGTGAGATATTGAATGAGTGTATTTCGCATAATGAGATTATATGGAACAGGGATGCAGACACAATATGAATTTCTAATAATTTTCGTTAAGCATAGAAATTCTAATTGAGTCTACCGATGGTTATATATAGAATGATCTTAATCATGAGTTCTTAACAAACTCCTATTTATGGATTTGTGTCTTTTGATTTACTCGGTATGGATTCTGAGACTCTGAATCCTATTCCTTGCATTTTGGAGACATGATGAAATAGGTAGCCGGGAATGTTATTATACAAGATGGAATCCATTCCTTCTTGAGAAAGAAGTAGATAAATAATTCTCTTAAGTGTTGATTCGGTACTTGGATTAGTTAGAGCGCTCTGGTTCATAAATGTGTTTTATGAATCACTATCCATTAGAGAATCAATGGTACTCAAGGATG